TTCTACAGCCATTTGGAAATCATAGTGCTGGACATGTACTATTTATTGCTCCCTTGGTATCTAAAACTAATGAACATCAAAACTTCATAATAATTGATTATCATTTAGAAAGGCTGATAGGAAATCTCATAAGTCATTGCCTATAAAACATTCCAATTTTAAAATCAAAGTAATGTCATAATCCATAAAATATTTATTTGCATATTTTCCCCATAAACTTAAGAGATTCAAGAAAAAATATAACTGCAGAAGGGCTCTCAGCAAAATCACTTAAAAGTTTACAGATCAAAATGCTGCTACAACATACATCACATCAGTACAGAGCCAGCTTTACAGTGCCATGCCTCCTGTCATAAGTTTATGAAAGTACTTAGGTATTAGCATGGGATTTTCTATAGAGGCCCATAAATACCACCTCTGTGGCCATGGGCAGCTGGGCCCTCAGGAATGCTCAGCTGCAGCTACCATATTTCCAGAACCTATGGACAGAAGGCTAAGTATTCAGTCTTTATATCTTTGCTGCTCACCATGCCTGGAATACAGTGGCATGAAAAGGCCTTTACATAGTTCCTGTGTTGTCCAGGGGCCAGATATAGGAGAAAGGAACTCAGGACACAGATCGGTGAAGACTTCGCTTCAGCCCATGTACTGTACCAAGTCAAACAACATCTGGAAAGTTTACTCTAAGGAACAGAGAGGCAAAGGGGCATATGTCACCAGATTGCTCAACACTTAGTTAACAGTCCAGTATTGCTGGCTCTCACTTCTGTATTTCCTCATAAGCACTGAATCAGAGGCCATGAACACTTGTGCATATTAGATCCTGTGGCATTTTTCCAAGCCAGAGGCTATTACTTTGAGGATTTGGCTAAGTGCCAATTCAGGTAATTATATTCTGACTCCTAAATTTGCCCTGCCATTTCAATTAAGTACAGCCTTGTTGGTTTTATTTTCCTGCCTTTTCAGCATATAAAAGAGAGAAGAAATTCTTCTGAAATTCCCCAGTCTTCTGACATGGAAGAAAAGGCAAATACGACAGTCGACAAAAGTAATAACTTCAGTATTGAATGAGATGACTCCTGTATACTAACCTGCATGCTTGGCAAATTTGAGAGTGCTGAACTAAGATATTAGAGAGAGCAAAAACCCTTTGGTGGAGTTAGATAACTGCATGTGAACACTATCTCAGTTAAGAATCACATCCATCTTCTCCATAATTACAAGAGTTGGATGTAATCATCTATTTAAATACACTCCATTCAAAAAAAAAAGAAAAAACACTGAGAGGTTCCTGAAAACGTTTATATGCCAAATACTCTCATGAAGAGTTTTAAGTAGTGGCCATCAGCAAAGATCTGTGAAACTCATGAACCCACCAGTGTCACCCAGAACTAGGCATTCTAAAAACAAGGCAGGTTGCCATTGCTCACCAAGCCAAATCCTTTTAGATCTGACATTATCAATTTTGGGCAAAGATATAGGGGAACTTAAACTTTCATGCACCACTGGTAAAAATAATATACTGCTGCAGATACTTTTCATAGCAATTTGGCAGCCTCTAGTAAAACAAAAAATGTATCTTGCTCAATTTGGCAACTTAGCTTCTAAGAAAAAGTATGTATGGGGGGCGGGGGGTGTCCCATCAAAACTCTCCACATGGCACCGAGGCACACAGGTACATATGTTCCACACAATAGTATTTGAATAGTTGATATACAGAGGGATTACAGTTACATGAATCAGGTACAATCAGTATAATTCTTTTTGAACCATGTCTGCTCTTCTCCCAATCTTTTCTTCCTGTCCCTACCCATAAGATATCCAGTTCATTTTTCACATAATATCTAGTGAATATCACTGTTGTATTTGTATTTATGTGCCCTCTTGTTTCCTTTTCTTGGAGTTCATTTCTCAGAATATTATTTTATATGATCATCTGTCCATAGCTTTGGAGCCTTTGTCCCTCAGTGGATGAATAGATTAAGAACGTGTGTGTGTGTGTGTGTGTGTGTGTGTGTGTGTGTGTGTGTGTGTGTGTGTGTGTAAAATGGGAATTATATCATCCATCAGAAAGAATGATATTGTAAGGAAATGGAAAGATTTGGAAAATTAAGTGAAGTATGCTAGAGCCAAAGAAATATGGACTGGATGGTTTCCCTCATTTGTGACAACTAGAATCTGTTTATAAATCTGCAAGTAAACATACTGAATGACTAAAAGAAGTAACACTGGGATATGATAAACTATATAGGATCTTAGTCATTAATATAGAGAGGTCAACATGCATAGGAGTGGTGTACAACAATATTTTTAATATAGGAAAATGGGGTACAGAGCCTAACTGCTTTAAAAGAATATAAAGTATTTCATTCCTATGAAAGGATACAATGGATTGGCCTTTAAAATGTATAACTAAAGGACTGGAAAGTTGGCTCAGCGGTAGAGTGCTTGCCTTGCATGCATGAGGCTCTGGGTTTGATTCCTCAGCACCACATAAGCAGAAAAAGCCGTAAATGGCTCTGTGCTCAAGTAGTAGGGCACTAGCCTTGAGCTGAAGAGCTGGGGAACAGCACCAGAGTTCTGCCCCCATGAACGATATATACAAAAATATAGTACTAAGTAGAAGGAAATAGTAGACACAACATATCCATGGTTCAATATCTGCTCCTGAATGAACCATAGATAGAACATATTCAAGAAAAAAAACTGAGCTTACACTGAATATTCAGATACTTTTCCCTTTTTTCCCTGTCCTTTTTTAATTCCTTATATAGTGCTTATACTGCATTTGATATTATAATTAATCTAGAGAGGCCTAAAGTATATGGGATAATGTGCACAGGTCATATGCAAACACGGGGCCAGTTTTTATAGCATCTCATGTTTTGGTACCTATGGGAAGACCTGAATCACTCATAAATATCAAGGGACAACTATACAGAGCAATTTATACAGTTAGATAGTATTTATTAGAATTTACAGAAGACAAACTTCATGTTTTGGCTTTTTATGAATGTGTACTGATTATGGGGAACAGTATGCATGCACATATGCACATATATTTACAGTGCTTGATTGGCCTGCACAGTATATTTATTGGTAAAAGTCAGTTTTACCTCTCATGACAAAGTAGAAAAACCATTCCCTGCTCTCCTTGAGAGAGCTGGGGGGCCAGCCCGGGCAATGAGGGAGATGGAGGTTTGAGCTAGCTTTCTCACCTTCATAATCCCAGTGAGGGTTTTGAGCATAAATCCAAGTATGCAAAGATACAAAGGCAGCAGAGAACACTCAACTGCTGGAGACAAAGGTTATCTTTCCAAGGGTGAGTGGGAAGGGGCATACCATGCCCTTTGTCATTACAATGCTTATAGTCTGACTGTACCAAGCCAAGATTAGGGCTTCTCCCTACTCAAATCTGGAGCAATAGGGTTGCTTGGGATTCTACCTGCAAACCAATACCCTTCAGATTAAAAGACTGTTCCATTTAACCCAGCTATTACCTGCTGCTGTTGTCACATGGGTCTAGAACCTGCAACTGGACAGGTGCAAGAGACAGCTGACCACTGGGGGGGGCTGTGGGGGGTGGGGAGACACGGCCTTGGCAATTGCACTAGCTTGATTGCTTATCTACCTATCTCTCTCTCTATCTCTCTATCTATAATGGTCATTATTAAAAGAGTTGTTCACATTACTATTTTATTTGCTGGTACCAGGGTTTGAATTCATGGCTTCAAATGCTTGTTCAGCTTGCCTACTTAGCCAAGGTTAAATAATCTAATTTATTTCTGCCTAGGCTAGATTAAAACCTTATCTTCCAGATCTCACACTACTTTTATAAATGAGTCTATTTCTCATCTATCCTACTGCTTTTATTTTTTGCTATTTCAAAATTATTTTCTATTTTTAATATCTTTAAGTAGTTGTACAAAGGAGATGATATTTAACAAAACAATTTGTGAATAGAATATACCTTGAGTGACGTCAACCTTTTCATCATTCTCCCCATCCCTCTCTATTCACTCCTTCACTTTTTTCTTAATTTTGTAGGATATACATTAGATTGTGTCTGCATTTTCCTCCTTTTTTCCTCTTCTTTTGTCTACTCCTTTCCCCTTGACCCCACCCTAACCACTTTTGAGTACCCTCTTCCTAATGTTTTATTTTGCTGAACTTTGATTTTAGCTTTTTAAGGAACTTTGATTTTAGCTTTCTAAGATCTCTCTTGAATCTACCACTTTCAGTTCATACATTTGTATATACTTGCATACCACTCAACATACTTCTGAGTTATGTAAGCTAAACCAAGCTTCCACATATAAAAGAAAACAGAGATCTACTGTCTCTCTGGGCCTGACTACTTCACTTAACATAATCAGCTCAGATGCCCCTGGATGGACAAATGCTATACATGTGCAATGGAATGTTACACATTCATTGGAAAGAATGATATAACATTTGTAAAGAAATGAACTGGAAAAAATGTTAAGTGAAGAAAGTGTGTTTGTAAAAGACAAGGAAGAGACCATGTATGAGGCCTGAAAGCAGTTTAGGTAGGTGTTTTATATTTGGCAGATCCCAGTCCTGTTTGGGAGCAATACTGTTTGAAATTGTAAGAAAAGAAAAAAATACAACTAGGTAACAGTGACAGAAACATATTTAACTTAGAAATGAAATGAACCAATTCCCAGTGTAAAAACACTGAATGAAAATTCAAAGATCATGGCAACAAACCATGCTTGAAACAATGTTCAAGAATACCAAAGAATTCTGAACTCCCTACTCCTGATTCTTACAATGAGAGATACTTTCATACACATAAATCATGACATTTATTATGAAGTATATAATTTTAGACTTTTGGACTGGTAAACTAATTCTCAGGGATTTGTTATGAAATGTATGTCCCCTGAGTTTTGATCCCTTCTGTTAATCTATTATGTAAAAGCCCTCCCTCCTCCACCCAGTAATTGCACCAATATTTAGCAGAAGAGAACACTTACTACATGGATGTCCTAACACCTTCACTTCATCAATTGCAAGGTAGCCTTGATGTCCAGACGTAACCACTTCAAAAATTACCTGAAAAATTAAGAAAGATTTACATTATTCACTTATTTTCTCAGACTTTTACTAGGTATCTACCAGAAGACACATAATTTCACTCCTTGCTTCCTTTGTTTTTACCCACTATTAATAGAGTGATTTCCTAACACCACTAGTTGATGTTATGGGTTCTAGGCTACAGAGATAAATAGGACCCTCAATATTAACAACAGGGAGACTAAAGAGTAGAGGGTAGGTCACACAAGAACCGACTAAAGGACTCACCCAAACAACCTGAGGGAAACGAGGATAAGGGCAGATATTTGAAAGGAAGAGAATTGGAGTTATTTATAAGGGGCATAAACTCTTTCTAGACTACACAACACTCTGTTATAATAGTCTAACAATAAAACATAACACACTTGAGAGTGAGAAGAGGCTCCATAGAAAAATAGCCATTGCAAAAACTTTGTCCTGTTCAAGTTTAATACTTTTTTGTTTTCACTGATGATATAAAAGAAAGAGATGCTTGGATAGTCCTGACATGAGACCATGGTAATTTTTCATGACTAATTCTGTAAGAGGACAATGAAGGCATTAAAAATTAAATTTCATAAAGTACCTGTGGCTCACATTTGTAATCCTAGCTACTCAGAAGGTTGAGATCTGAGGACTATAGTTTCCAGCCAGCCAAGGGCAAACAAATTTAAGATAACTTGAGATGTGGCTCAGGTGGTAGAACACAAGTCTTGAGCAGAAAAGCCAAATGAGAGTACAAAGCCCTGAGTTCAAGCTCTAGTACCAGCACACATGCATGGGTATGCACACACGTGTCCACATGTGTGTACTTGTACACACACACACACAGATGAATTTCAAGGGTAAGGATAGAAAAATGCATTCAAGACACTCAGGGCCTTGTAAAATGGCTATACTACAAATATTGGAAACAGGAAACAGAAACTTAGTAGTGTCTGCAGGGATCTGAAAGTTGCTCTTATACAAACAACCTCAGCTAAGGGGGAGAAAGCTGACATCACTACTACCACTACTACCTGGCAGCACTGCCCCTCTGGCTATAAACATGGTTTTATATCTGAGTGAAGTGGTATGCTTCATGGTTCAAGCCCATAATCCTAGCTATATTTGGGAAACATAATTAAGAGGGGATTATGGTTCAGTGCCAGCTTGAATATAAAAAATTAACCAGGTTCTATCTCATTTGGTGGCTGGGCATAGGGTTACACACTGTTATTCCCAGAAACATGGGAAAGCACAAGTAGAAGAATCACAACCTAGGCTGGATTAAGCATAAAGAGAAATACTTCCTTGAAAACTGACAAGAGGAAAAGGGATTGGAGGCATGGCTCAAGTAATAGAACACCTGCCTAGCAACTGTGAGTCTATCCTTTCAATTCCCAGTACCTCTAAAAACAACAACAACAAGGCCTATCTTAAATAGATCTTTTAAGACCAGATTTCAGGCCCCCATTGCCCCATTGTAGGTTTCATTGTCAAAAACTTGTCAGCAGCAGGAAAGCTTCAAAAAACAAATAGCCTATATCTCTTTTATCAAGTAAGGGATTTGTCTATTGAAAGTGTGAGTATTACCCTGATGAAGTATAATAGTTCTATGCAGGACCAAGAGGGAGTCACAAGGAAGTCTGAAAATCCTGGCATCTAGGTCCAGAAAAATTGAGGTCAGAGAAAATAATAATACAAGAACATCAATGGTACCACTAGAAAAAGAAAACAGAAAGGTACGGGACACTGACTTGCCAATATGTCATTCTTGCTTTTATCAAATAAAACAGGATATATTGAAAATCTTCTATATTAGAATTAAGGCTTGGGTTTCTTTTTTTTTTATTCTTGACTATTGTGGGGCCTGAATTCTGGGCCTGGGTGCTGTCCCTTAGCTCTTCAGCTCAAGGCTAGCGCTCTACCACTTGAGCCACAGTGCCACTTCCGGCTTTTTTTCTTTTTGCTTTATGTGGTGCTGAGGAATCGAACCCAGGGACTCAGGCATGCAAGGCAAGCGCTCTACCACTGACCCCCCTTCCTAGCCCCCCCATGTTCATTTATTTATGCTTTGGCTTCATTTGCTTTCAGACAGCATCGAAGGTCACTAGTTGCCACAGACTGTCTGGCCTAACAGCCAGAAATATTTACCATCTAGTCTCTGGTTTTAGACTTTCCTGCTTGGCTCTCCAACACATTGTCATTGTTTTGGTTAACAAGAAAGTACATGTCAAAAGTAATATTTTGTAAAAGCCAGACACAATATGCCTGGAAATCCACACATGAGGCTCATATTATTCCAGTAATGACAGGGAGACAACTCTGCCTCTGGACTGACCAGTGATTTATCATTAGAATGATATACCACATAAGGTATTTTAAATGCCCATAAGGTTTGTAATATAATTACCATTTAAAAATAATGCAAAATATTTATTCAACATGCCAAAATAAAATTATAGAAACTATTTTTAGAATGTAAAATACTATGTAAAACAACACAAAATCAATTCACTTAAAATTCAAGTCTTCCATAAGAAAGACGAAAAAATAACTGAGGATTTGTAACACCTTAGTATTAAAATCTGGCCCTCAGATATCCTTTTATATCATATTCCCTGGAATTTGCTAGATTTGGGCTAAATGTTTCCATTTGCTTCTTAACAAAATAAACACATTTTGGGGGAAAATACCTTCTTTTAGACTAACCAACATTACATTTTTATTTGTAAATAGTTCTGGCTATATAAGACAGACACACAGAATTGCTCTTATTCTGGAATAATTTTGCCACATCACAGCATGTAATTTTACAGCACCTTAGCTTAACAAGGAATATGGATGGTCTTCATTAAGCATGGATTTTTATATTAGTGAATTTTCCTACTCCCTGTGTAACCCCATATCTTACCAAGTTTCCTATGGTCATTTTTGGACATGCACAGAGAAACAAAACATCTGAATTATTTGATGCACTTGCTCTTAGCTGAGGTAAGGAAGGCAATATCTGTCTCCTTGTTTCAGCTTCCATGTGGTAAAAATGTACCCCTATTGTGGCCTACTTAGTCCTACACCTCCTCAGGTTCTGTGCTTTTCATTAGGGATTCTGCAGGTTGAAATCGTCCCAATGGCACTGCTTAATTACTGTGCAGTGTTCACTCTTAAGTGCAAGAGGCTATGTTATGCCCTACCAAGAAAACACATGGGTCATATAAGCTTTATTCAGGCATAAAGTATAGTCTTGTTGGGCATGGTTTAATGTTTATCAACTGACTGCATAAATTATATAAGGCATTTTAACATGGAAATACACATAAAAGAAGGTCATGAATTGATGAGTTGACAAAATCATAGTGACTATAGAGAGACACACGGGAACCTGTACCACATTTCCCATTTTGTTTCCAAGAATTCAATCCACTGTGGATGGCAGATATTTGAAAAATAACCAAGTCTGCACTGAACATGTATAAACATTTTTGTGGTTGTCATTATTCCCAAATAGTATAACAACTATTAACAACTAGTAAATAGTATAACAACTATTTACAAAGCATTTATGTTATTTTAGGAATTATAAATTATCTGACATAACTTGAAATACAAAGGAAGCTACACATGCATTATATGCATATAACATGGCATTTTATATAAATGGATTTGCACCCTTATATGTAAAGGAATACGGGATAGAGAGAATCAAAATTTATTCCATCCTTCATCTAATAACATCTCAGGAGACAAATGCTGTACCCTCTTAGCCTTTGGAGATTTGGGGCAAAGCCACTCTATGTGTGATAGGAAACAATTGGCTAAGCCACTGACTGGACTATCATTTGCTCCTAAATCATCCTCCTGAAAGCTAGCTGACAGGAAGCTCTTTTCAGGTTCCTGCCAAAGTGGGAAGGGAAGAAATTGAACACTGCAGCGTCCTGATCCTCTCTGCTTCAGTGAAGAGCGAAATTAGCTTTCCATGCTATCACTTCCCTTGTATACAGGAACACAAGGAAGGGATTTTCTTACCATTGCACATGCTTGCCAAGGAAAATATGTTAGCAGAAGTCATTTGTAATTTTTCTAGAACACAGAGGATTAAAAGGTAGGTGTCTCTTCTGCAGATTACCTACAAGATCCTCTCTGGTTTTGATTTAAATAAAAATCAAGGGTAGTCCTTACCCATTTTCATAAATTTTCTGTTGCTTCTGTCAAATGAGTTAAATAAAAATAGAAACACAGTAAAAAGATTGGCATATTAAAAAGTTAAGGCAAAAAAAGTCCCATTAAGAAATCAGGACATTTCCAACATATTGTCTTGTGAGTATCACTGTTGCATTGGTTCCCCCTTTGTCCTTTGTATCACCATTTTGGTGTTCCCCTTCCCTTCCCTAATTCAGATAAACATATATACAATACCCAGGGTACCAAAATCAGATACAGTGACAACAGGGGATAAACCATAGGGGGAAAAATTCAAAAGAAAAAAATCACATAGTATATTAAAAACAACAACAACAACAAAGAAAAACCTCTTTTGTCAATGTCTTGGAGTTCATTTCACTTAGCATCATTTTATATGGTAATCTGTACATAGCTTTTGAGCTATTCTGCACATCTGCTAAAGACAAAGGGAAACCAATACAGCAGCGATACTCACAGACAATATGTTAGAAATGATCTGTACAACTTAGGGGTGGATTGGAGAGGGTCAGAAGGAGGTGGTAACAAGTTCAACAAGAATTGTACTTATGGGGCTGGAAAGATGGCTCAGTGTTAGAGTGCTTGCCTTGCATGCATGAAGCCCTAGGTTCAATTCCTCAGCACCACATAAGCAAAAAGAAAAAAAAAGCCGGAATTGGCGCTATGGCTCAAGTGGTAGTGAGCTAGCCTTGAGCTGAAGACATCAAACTGACAAGAAAACAATAGAGTTTTTATCAGTGCTCTGTCGTGACCATCACGATCTATCTACCTATCTATCTGAATGCTGAGGACCTATACTAAGGCTTCACTCATACTAG